GCAAATGAATTTGCTTTTGCTTCCAGCTTTCCAGAGACGTTATCTGGAATTACCATCTCAGCGACTCCATCCCATGTTTGCCAGCTAGGGTTTTACACTCACTACTAGCAAGCACATTTTGTTTTCTGTTCTGGAGAAGGGTGAAGCATTGAACTGAGAAAAACAAAATCTGATCACATTCAACAACCATAACATTTTCCTGGTACAATTGTTTATACCAACTTGAGAAGTGTTTCCAATAAACACCAGGAAGCAGGCCTCGCTGTGCATGCAATGCAGAAAGCGGCAGTGAGCCTGTGGCTGGGTGGCAGGGCTGCGACAGCTTTCTTGCTGCGCCAGGCCACGCGTCTGCAGGCAGGAATGGCCGCTCAGGTCGGCATGTGTGAGCTGGCTCTAATCTGTCCATCTCAAGCATCGACAGTGTTGCAGTTGTGGTACAGGGTTTCCGCCGCAGACGCTTTACCCGCAGACTGACCCAAGAAAGTGCCATGAGTGTTGCCAGGAAGCTGCCGCCACCTGCGGCGACTGTCACCGGAGCTGCCACCATGCCTCTACCTGCCGCATGAGGACAGCTCAAAAGGAAACGCTACCACCCACCAGCGTCAGCATTTCCAGAGAACTCCAGGCTGCCCTCATTAATTGTACAGTTTTGTACATTTGTACCTAATCGGTTAAAAAGGAGAAGTGGCCCCACACGAGTGTTATCAAAATCCAAACCAGATCTTCTCTGCAGTCTTCAGAGCCACTCGTTAAAACAGATAAAGGTGTTTTTTTGTCTGTGTGGCTTTAAAACCTGCATTTCAAACTGGCATTTCTTATACTGTATATCTACCCACACACACCTGACAAGTCCAACTTCACAGTAACACAGCTTTGCTGCAAGTTCCACTCGTAAAACATGTCTACATGCCCACATTCACCTTAAACTCTCGCACAGATACTGAAATTTAAAATTTTGCGGATGCCAAGTAAAGAAGCTTTTGAATGCCACATATATTTGGCCTTATTTTTAGGCTAATGCTCACTTATGGAAATGCCACGCTAAGTGTTATTATCTTACAAAAATAAATGGAAAGCTATGGGAAACAGACATCCCATTTTACAGAAGACATTTTCATTGAAGTGTGACATTTTTATTTTTATTACAGCTCCCCAAAGCTTAGGGAACAAAAAAATTTAATTCCTCAAATTAAATTTTTATGTTTAAAATCATATTAATCTGCAAGATAGGCAGCTGGACCCAATGCTCAAGACCTTCACTAATCATCACAGCTTAGTGATGAACACAGAGGAACAGTCTATCTTGCCGAATCCAAACTGGCGTACCATTTTATCCGCATTCCTGAAATCCTAGCTTTCAGGCAGAATTGATTCAGGAGAAACAATCCTCTTTCATTTCACAAGTAGATGCCTATACCGCACTGAGTCAGTGAACAGATTGACATCGCTCTCACATTCAGGTTTAACTGAGTAAAATAGGTAGAAAAGAATGGCATGATAAACATAAGCAGTATCTCAAAACTCACACTACGCAAACCAGAGTGATTGGAGCCCCCTGAGCCACAGTGATGGTTACAGAATGCTGCCGCAATAAGCAATTCCCATTAATAAAGAGCAATGTTTCTAACTCACTGCGAAATAATCTGAAATGAAAGGCATTATTAATCCGTCTTTCCAGTGCTGCCTTGCATCAGAATTAAGACAGTGATACCATCACCCTCCAGCACTAAAAGCTGTTTCCAAAAATTCAAATACACTCAGACTAATTAAAGAACACAATGTACTGAAACCTTCAGTACTTCAATAATAGCACTTTTTACTAATAGGTTGAGGCAGAAACATCAGCTGTTTTTGAATTTAAGTTTTGAGACAGTACCTACATAAGAAACATTTAAAACAGTGGCCCAGTCCTGGTTTAATAGAAAAAAAAAAAACCAACTGTTGGCTTCAAAGGAGCAGAACTAAGCCTAGAAAAGTTGCACAAAGCATGTCCTTCAGTCCTCCAAAATTCATATGAACTAACCTTGCTAAAATGTTTCTGAAAGAGCAAGGAAAACAGTCTTTGAACACATAAATGACAGTCTTAAAGAGGAAAGACATCATTTAACTGCTGTGGAGATGGAAGGAGGAGTGAAGGGCCATATTGCAAGCAAGGGAGACGTCTGCTAAATATCAGAAACAATTAAGAGCCAGGTCTGTTAATTACAGGAAGAGATCGCCCAGGGAGGCAGTAGACCCCCAGCACTCGAATTGTTAAGAGTGCGTTGGGTAAAGCATTTGCCAGAAAGGCACAAGCGCCTTCCAGCAGTGGACGGGGTAGAGGAGGTCCCCTCCAATCTTCTCATCTACAGTAAACTTGAGAGCTGCCATACTGGAGAAAGACTGCAGCGTACTGCAGCATGGCATACGGAGACAGTTCCCCACCCGTGTGATCTTTAGATTGAAATGAAGTAAGTAAAAATGAAGAGAAGCAGCCCGGTCCAGCAGGTAGGGCACTAAGTCGAGACCTGGGAAGCCGGAGCTCAGGCTGAGACCTGAGTGGGCCAGAGCCTGTCACCCCCTGCCCACGCAGCAGCTCTCCCCCTCTCATCGTTCATCTGCTCCAGCTTTCCTGTGCAGGGGCCATTTGAGGGCACGGCTGGGTGAGGGCGAGAGCAAGCAGAGAACTGGACACACGTCAGCAAAATAAACATGCTGAAAATACATCAAGAAGTGTGGTTGCCCATGAACTTTTACAACCTTGGTGACTCATTCAATAGTGTTTTTAGGATAGACCAAGTGGGTGGAAGAAAGTGGAGGGTGGCACGCCAAATTCAGGGCACAATTACTCAAATATAGCTTATTGATGGCTGACAGGCAAAGCATTTTGAAAGCATACGGGATCAATACACCAACTAGCACAGCCGACAAGAGGGGACCTCTAGCACAGACCACCAAAAATCACAGCAGACAAAAAGTGTTTTTCATAATGTCATAAAGGATTTCAGTGTAGGAGACATATGGGAGTCTTAAATAGCCAAACAGAAAAACATCACTGTAGTTTAAGAATTCTAGCTGATTGGAGGGGGATTGAGGGCAGGAGCAGTTAGTGTACCCAGCATCAAGTACTGGGGGTTGGGCCCAGAGAGAAAGATGTGTTGGGCCATGGGATAGGAACTGGGGAACACCTGAAAGAGTAGTTCACATTTTGTATAGACAAACAAAGGGCAGCCCCAATCAAAAAGTTATCTCTAGGGTTTTAAAAGGGTTAATTTCACATAACTGAAGAAAATTTTACTGAACTAATTGGAAGAGAAAACGTGGAGGAAAAAAACAAGACTGAAAATAGGCAGTTCTTTAAAAAGAATTCATTAGAGGGCTGGGAATTCATGTTTCTGTGAGAGGGCTGTTTTAACTAAACCCTTGCTGATCAGTAACTGTATAGGTCAGACTAGATGTTCACAGTAAAACTTTTAAATTGTAATATAAGAAGTGTTTTTAAGTTATTCAGGAAATAAGGAGAAATTGTGCATTTGTATTAGACGAACAAAAAGGAAGATATTAAATAACATTTCCTTGGGTTGAACACGTAAGTCAGAGCACTCAGCCCATTTGCACTCAAGAGTCCCAAAAAGCTTTGGCTCGCCAATACCCATCATGCAGTAACATTTCAGAAAACTGTAAGAAGGCCCATGTGCTCCTTCTCCAAGGACACATGCTACACACACAAGCAGGAAAGACAGCTGGGGCAATGTGAGTAACTTTAGTAAGGCTTTTGTTGACTTATCACTAGATAACCACTCCAAACAACAGATAAGGATTATACAGCTTCAACATGGTAAACAATATGTAGACTAAAAACTGGTGATAGATCTAAAAGAGGTTATTGGAGAATAAACATTGAGCAATCTTAATGCATGCCCTCAGAACCCAGTTTCAGCCCCCGTGCTGGTCAACACCTCAATCTAGAAACAAATACAGAATTGTCTATTAAACCTTGCAGATTAGCCAAGCAATAAATAACAAAGACAGTGCAGTCACAGAGCGTGATCTGGACCCCCGGCAGGGAGGGCCTATTCAAGTAAGATGTGCTGCAGTGCAACCAAATATGAAGTCATACATCTAGGAACAAGGAATGCAAACACTGCTGTCGGGGGTGCCAGACTGCATCTGGGACTGCACCAAACTCTGACGCTGCAAAGGATGCCGAGGTCAGAGCAGATAAGCAACTCAGCAAAAGACTAGGGATGAGAGGGCTAATGCGACTATGGGATGTACAGAAAGAGAAACGGAGCAGGAGTCTGGAGGAGATTTTATCTCCATATACTGGAAGTATGTGTACAGTGTATTGTTTTAAAATGATATTTAAATTCTACAGCACACTTAGAAGAGAGACTGGAAAGACTGTTTTAGGCTGGAGAAAAAATTCTCAGTGAGGGACTTGAAAAGCTTAATCTGTTTAGCTTATCAAAAGGTAGATTCAGACTCAGAGGTGATGGTTCTCAGTTTGTTCAAGGCAAAAAAGTGGAGGTAGTAATGAACCCTTTAACAGAGAAAGCTTTAGCTAGAAACTGCTCAAAACTGAAGCTAGATAAATTCAAGGAAGTAATAAAGTATGACTTTTCTTAACAGTAAAGGTAATTAACCTTTAGCTTAACAATGGTACAAGCAGTACAAAGTAAAAGTAGTGAATTTTCAGTGTCATAAATCTCTAAATTAAAGCTGAATACTGCACAGATGATTTGCTTCAGGTAAATGTAAGTTTCTGGGTCTGGGTGAAACCACACAGCTTATTCTAAGAGATTTGACAGAATCATCTTGTAGTTTTTAACTCAACAGATTTACAGTAATACAGGAAAAGAACAGCATAATCTATCGCTGCCAGTAACATCTGCATAACTCCTCTTTGCTGAGGTAAGGGTGATGGATCATAAACCATTTTTGTATCTGAAACGTCAAAAGCATTTGGTAATTTAGGCAAGCCAAAGCTCCAGCCTTCCTCGGCCACCCAGACGACTTACTCCGAGATGTGTACGAAGATGTCAGGCCCTCCATCTGCAGGGGTAATGAAGCCATGGCCTTTGGAGCGACAGAAGCATTTACAGACACCTTTGTAGATGGGACCCTCTGATGCTCTCACAGTTCTGCAAAAGAAAGCACAAAAAGAGCAGTTCATTGCTGAGCACAAATGCGACAGCTTCCAGGTGTGTCAGCCAGAGCACACTAAGCAAACGGGCACAATGATCCAAATACTCACTCCCAGCGAGTATACTCCTCTGTAGCAACTGCTTAATACTCAGTTTCATACACTGCACATGTTTTGCTGTAGCCTTTTTAAGGAAGATAAAGATGATGAAGATGTTTGCTAGCATTATAATCCATCAGTCGCCATCTTGAATCCATCTGCTGTATCACCCTGCCAAATTTTCTTTTGGACACTATACTAAATGTAAGCATCTTATACCTTTCATGAGTTCGAGAGTACCAAAATGCACCTAGGTGGTGTATGCGCTTTCACAAATTTAACAGTAAGCATGTGTATGTAGTATCGAGAGAATGCAGCGCGTAGAGACATGTATAAATGCGTACACATGTATGTATATACACACATACACACACACCCTTCTGCATGCATGCCTATTGTTATCCTGCCAGACTAGGATCCAGGGAAGCCAGTATTTCACCTCCAAATGACTCCAAGCAGGCTACGAAGCCTAACTGGTATGCATAACACCAAGACTCAAGACTGATCTCCTCCTCCACTGTCATGGGACCTGTATTTTAAAACGAGACAGATTTGAAGACAAACCTTTAGGATGACTTACTGCCATCAAGAAAAACGACTCGCATGATCTATGACCCATCCTGAAAACTGCATGATTAAATCCTTTTCCCTGTCAAACATGCCGAGTTGAATCTCCAGGGATCCAAACTCACTCAAATACTTTCATTAATGAAGCCAGCTGTTTTAGACATCTTAACAGGGTTTACACAGAGGCATTACTAGATCAGGACCTTCTCATGCCATGAGGATTTTGGTGCGATTCTTCAAACTCAGCAAGTGATCGTGTTGCCATTTGGTTACATACATCATGGCAATTTTGACATCACTTTCCCAAATGTTTAAAGTTTACTGAAGTCTAAATAAAAATAACTAAAAAACGTGGTAACAGCTCTGCTCCTTAAGTCAAACTAACACTAAAGAAATACAGTTGAAAGTGTTAAAGAAAGAAGAAATTTTCATTAAATCACTTCATTTCCAGCTCTATAAAGCTGTTGACGCACCTGACCCCACAAGTGCTTGTTACACAGAAAAGCACTCGCTGCCCTAAATAAGCCATTAAAGTTCAACTGCATCATTCAAGGAGATAAAGCACTGTGGGGGATAAGGCCCCACACTTGCAATGAACCAAAATTAAATAATCCCACTGAATAATAAGCCTGTCACATTCATCTTTTCCATACAACTGTGGGGCCAGAGCTCACCTAGAGCTCTTCTTGCTTAAAGAGGACACTAAAAAATAATGATAAAAATTTAGAGCTATTTTGATTTTCGGGGCAAACAAATACAGCAAGATTCCTACACTAATTAATGATTTAAGAACTGTGGAAGCCAAATAACAAATTCTTTAGTTTTGTAAGAACCAGACTAGGATTAACAGCTGAGAAGAATTACAAAGAGCTCATTATTAACACAGTACTGAGGCAAGCTAGCTTGGAATTGCTTTTCAAGGGCAATCCCAATTATCAAGTCAATTATGTTCCTTTTAGCAATCTACTTCCATTACAAAGTTTAGGGCATTTGAAGGCTTTTGGAACTGACAACATATATATTTTTCTTCTGCTGCTTCTGTTCTTTTTCGCCTCATTTTGAATACAGAAGTAATAATACGAAGCATCATTGAGATTGATGCTATTTAAATCCGCATGGATAATTCTTAAAGAAGAGAGCTGGGTAACACTGCAAGAAGCAAAAAGGAAAAAGCATGCCAACTAGATTAAGCAGCACAAAATAGGCTAGCTGTGGGTTTGAGATCTTACTTCAACAGTGTTTCACTTGGCGTTGCCAGACCTCCCTTACACAGAAGTAATTCCAAGACTGTGGCAGAAGTGCAATGGATTGACCACAGCTTCATGTTATACCCTCAGACCCTGATTCAAAGGCCACTGAGATTAACAAAGAAGCCCACATTGCCTTCTGCAGGTCAGCACCTCACTGGGAGACCCATCACAGGCACTGGGAATTTTTTTGCAATGGCCAAACCTTGCAATGCCACCCTCTGCTGCTGCACTGTGGAGGAGTCCCCTTCGGGCAGGGGGCTACCAGGAGCCTGCATGGCATCACAGGAAAGCTCAGGGAAAGCCAGCTCTGCTGTGGGATCACTACCTTAAATAACTATCAATAGCAACACACCTCATCTCATTTTATGGAAAACCTCATATAATCTTAGAGAATCAAAGAGATCAGGGTTCATACCTTGAAAAATAACATTCTTTTACAGGTCTATTTGAACAATCTTAAGATGGAGATATGAAAGCTGAACAGAAAAAGGAGACAAGCCCACTGAAAAGTGACAGGGTCATGGACCATCCCTAAAATGTAACCTGGCTGATGGTTGCACAGGTGTCAGGAGTGAAAGAACTAAGACCTCCAGTGAGGTCCGGTCCAGTGCTTCAGGGGTGGTGAGAAGAGAGGTCATGCCAAAGGAGGAGGTGGAGCTGACAAAGAAACACCAACAGGAACTGGTCCCGAGAGCCACAACCCGGTGTCTGAAGTGAAGCAAAGCTTCAGACAAGAGACTCTGTTTTGAAAAATCTCAGTGCATTTTCCCCTCCCTGTAAAACTCTGGTCTTAGAGTGCAAAAGACTTTAAACATCCTTTACGCAAAGAGAGCACTGAAAAGCTACAGGCAATTTGGACTAAAAGTCTAGTGGCATCAGAATTTATTGGAGAAGAGATAACAGTAAAATACCAAAGTATCTTCCAGATACAACCGTCCCCCCCCCGACTCCCTTCACCTTGGCAGGGGGTTGATCATCCTGCCCAAAGGCAATCGTTTTGTTGTGTCTATGAAATGCAGGTTTCCCAGTACTTACGCTGAAAATGTTCTGGTCCGTCGGGTGGGCAGCGGACTGGGGATGAGGTACCCTCTCAAGGGCGACGGGGAGCGATCCCTCACCCTGCGGTTTTCAGGCAGATGGAGAGAACTGGGTGAGGGTGGAGAGGTGGGGGACTGCTGCGAAGCAGATGAAGTGGGCTCAGAAGACATTCCTGACGCCTGAGAAAAACCTAGAGAGGAAGAGATCTGATTTAGCCCAAAATGGGAATTGTCATAAAAGTCAAATTCTTCAGCTGACAATTTTGTAAGAACATGACTCACTTCCTGCAGACGTACACACGGACACAATTGCACCAAAAGCTCCTGCTCTGTGTCAGTGAGTTCTTAAGTTTATTTATTTTTAAATCTCACAGCTTTTGTACGCTGTACTAGGAAGCTCCACTGAAAATAGATTACTCCACAACTAATACATATTTGCTTACTCCCACCTCACTCACAGGCAATGGCTCTTGAAGCAGAGCTCAGCCCCAACACTAGGTATTGGTGTGCCCCACGCGGCTCCCATACAGACGGGGTCTGAGCACTGACAGCACAGAGGAGCCTCCTGCATCTGCACACAAACACACGTTACAAGAAAGAAACACTAGAAGAAGAAATGCTGAAATAAAGGCTGCACCTCCACTGCTGGAGGTTAGTTTCAATGTGCAGTCACCGATGCTAAATTCATTGCTGCTGCTCAGCTATTAGCACAGCTCTGTCAGAGCTCGTAACACCTTCAGCTTGACTGCAAGAAGAAAACGATACGAGTGCTCCTTAATTCACTTCAGACAAAGCAAGACAGTTAATTTTCTCTGCTAAGGACAGGAACACAGACAAAGCCAGGAGGCAGTGGCTGACTGCAAGGAGATGACCCCTCCAGCCTGCAGAGATCTGGCAGACCCAGCAGTCCCCTTTGGCAGGTCTGAGTCTGCCACAATCTTCCAGCAACTAGGAAGCCAGTAGTCCACATTTGCATTCAGACCCCCAGCAGCCCACATCAGATTTGCTCTTATTCATGTCCTGCAGCAGAGGAGGGAGAAGGTCCCTTTCTCATCACACCAACAGCAATACATGTCTCATCACACAACAAGCAAAACTCACAGAATCCATGGAAAGAGAAGGACTGATAAGAAAGCATTCTACGTACACGAATGCATGGCTTACAGGTGCAGCAGAGACAGAAAGAAGAGAAATCAAGCAGCACTGCTCTGGTATTACTGTGCAAGTCCCCGTCCGCACTGGAAGGGGAATAAGCTGAACGAAAATAACCAATAACCTACCACACTCTTACTTAAGAAAATCTAAAAACGTCTGGGTATCTGGATGAGTTAGCAAGAAATGTGGCGATCTGGGTCAAGAAAATATCATGAACCCAAGAAAAGCTGCCTTTAAGACCAATAGTTTCATTGAACTGAAATCTATCATAACCATTATGCACCCTCCTTTTGACACCCACACTCCCTAGCCCATAAATTATGGAGTGGATCCTTCACATGACATTTGAGAGATGCAGCCTTCTTGTCAATGACAAATTCCCATTATTTCTTCCCGAAACTAAGGACTAAAATTAAAGAGGCCTCTTAAGAATGAAGTCACCAGGGAACAAAGGCTTTTGTGTTTAATTACTCAGGGTGCTGAGAAGGTAGAAGTGAATAGTCATGTTCCCTCGTGTACCAGCTTGAGCTTTCCACACTGTTCTCAAGAGCAACAACTCAGCTGAAAACAAAACCACAGCTTTACGAATGGCGTTTCAAATACAGATGGCGTTTGCCACCCATGAGCTAATGCCCCGCCCAGCATCATGGCACAGCGTTCAGCTGAGACCGAGATGATAACACCAAAGGGATGGGATTTTCCAAACTTCCTCTTCCTCCAAAGAGACCTGCTGTGCTGGCTGGTACTGAGGAAGCCTCCTCAGATTTCAAAAGACCTCTCCTTTGGGTGCCTTGCTTTCAAGGGATGCGTGTTTGACATAGCAGGACTATAACTCTAATAAAGTCACAGGAAAAATAAGAGCAAACAATTAAAATCTCATTCTGATAACTCAGCACACATGGTCTGGCCTTTCCACAAGTGAAAATGCAGCTTTCGGAATCGCACGCTTTCTCTCCTAATCTAAATATAAACCAGCTTGTCAGGTGACAAGCAAAATGCAGAGCTATTTATCCATCCACAGCAATACAGTAGAGCCAACCACAAAGTACTGCCCGTCCCCTTCCTCAAACAAGGGTAGAGAGACAGGAGAATTTTCCCTCCTTTCTTTAAAACACAGATGAACCACAAAAATATTTGCAAACAAAGATGGCTAAATGGAGTTAGAAGTGTGCTAACGTACGTTATTGTTCCCATTTATGTTATTTTTGTGCCCTCTGCTCTGTAAACATAAAATAAAACAGTGATGTAGAACATTCAGTGCCATTTCACTGTACAAATACCCTTTTTGTTCTCTGCCCACGGCCAAAGTAGATGAATGGCCTCAACTCTCATAATTTCTATTACACAAGTCCTAAATCGTGGTCAGAGCTCAGTGAGAGCTGATACACAAATGCACGCAGCCGGAGGCAGCCAGGGGCAGCTACGCTCGACTTCACACCCACTGCAGCAACTGAGTACAGCTCAGAAGAGGAAGGGATGCAAACAAGCAGCAATAGGAAGCCTGTGCTACGCTACAGCTCAGCAACATTCTGTATTGGCATGCATGCTGTATCACTGCATGTGCAAGTGCACCAGCACATCCGTTTGCCTCTTGGGCTTCTCTGACAATTGTAAAAATCAGACACAATGAAAAGGATTGGACACTGAATTACCAAGTTTTACCGTGTGCACTGCATACAGCGGGATGACAGCAGCTCGTGCCTCCTGCGAACCTCCGCTCAGCTTGCTCAGTGCAGAAGATCACTTCATCTGAACCTTTTCAAAGACAAAAGTGGAGGTTAGCTATTTCAGTTTGTTCTGGTGTGGCCACTGTCTTGATGTTGTTCATACAGGGATTAACTCCTTTCCATTGGCAGCACTCCTGAAGGAGCAGAAACGCTATCCCCACTCGAAGGCGCAGCTGGAGGCACTCCGAGACTGGGCAGTGTTTACGCAGGAAGCCTACAGCAAACACTCAAACCAAAACCCCACGCCCCCAGCACTCCCAGCCTTCCTCTTCACACAAGTTTTGCCTTCCAAATGCAGTTACTGGTAGTCTTCAAAGATGCTTTTCAGATGTTATCCTGGATTCTGAACTGACCCTCTGCAAATCAGGAATCACCCTTGGGACTCAGACAGCTGCCTACCAGCCCTTCCTCAGCAGCCACAAATACCTTCCCCTCTTTGTGACTAGCTGAACAAACCTACTTCTTACATCTCCCACCCACCTCCCACGCTGTTTCCATTAGTTTTCCTCTGTCCCTCCAGTCCAGCCACCACTCTCCACGTGCCCATGGCAAGGAGGACATCACACAAACCCCAGACAGCGCTAACGGAGCACCCTGCCCCAGCTCCCCACCAGCATCCCGCTTGCTGTGCCTTGTGAAGGCAGCCAGTACTTCGTAAGCAGCAAATCATAGCTACAAGAAGCCCTGCAGTGTGAGATTCCAGCTACGACAGAGAGGAAGGACAATACATACAGCATCTCTCTTCTGCTTGAGCCAGCAAAATATTTGCCTTCGGGTATTTACAAAATGAATGTAACATGTAACATGACGCAAGGTGGTGATATTTTCAGACTCTTTAGGAAACTCCAGCCACGTGCCACCTTACCCTTAAACCTGCCCATATTTCAACATGCATCATTTCTCTTTCACCAACATGATTTTTTTACTATTTTTTTTTAGACTGTAGGTATGCACCAAACTAAAATATAAATAAAATAAATCACAGACGCATTATGGAAACAATAGACGAATTTAACATTCCAAAGCAAAAGTGTATTTCTTTACCATACTTTTTCCAGAACAATTGGCCAATGGGTGTACACAGAGACCCCAAAATGTCATCTCTAATAGGTGACCTACAAAGCACAGAGCGCAATACATGCTGGAGAAATTTCTGAAATTCTCCATAAAATACTAGCAAAAAAATCTATTGAAGTAATTAAGGTTGGGGGCATGTAAGTGCCACCATCATTTCTCTATATATCTATACATTTTTTTTCTATTTTTTTTTAAGTCTACCCCATACCTCTAAAAAATACCCTAAAAATAGCAGTTTTGGGGAAGTTATCCATTCTGACCAGCACAACACTACCATAGAAAACTAGTCTCACTTTTAATTAAAAGGAAATGCCTAGAAAAAAGTCAAAACGGATAGGGCAGGGTGACAGACTCAAGGAAATCTCTCCGTCTATGAATGGTTTCTTTCTTACACAACAGACATTGCAACACCTCCCGCAGGCACAGAGCTCATCCCCAGGAAGCACTGCTCTGCGTGCTTCAGTGCTCCAGCACAGAGAAAAAGCTCTTTCTAGCCTCCTTAGCCTGGAACTGACACTGTCTGGGGGAGCTGCTTTCAGAAGGTACCACAACGGTCTATGAACAGGACAGCACTGGCCACACACGCCTGGAAAACCAGGCCTTTCCTCAAAGAGAGAGCGAGGTTTCTATACCCCAAGAGCAGCTGCTTTCAGCTGGGTTTTGCTGGAAGTTAGCTCTTTCATTTCAACCTCTAAGAGGAATGTGGACATCTGAAAATCTGTTTGTTTTCTGGGCTTTCCTTGGATTTAGAAACAACGTCAAGAACTCTTTTTAAAGCGACTCACTTTTAAATGCCCTGGTTTCCACATTTTTTCTACACAGCTGCATTTCTTTCCTTCTCTAAGGAAGCCATGCAGGTAAACACATGAGTTTTGCCTGCTCTTCTGCTGACAGCTACAAGCTCTTCTCAGCACGAGAAAAAAGCACGGCTCGATGACACATGGTGAGCACTACAGAGACTGATTCTGCTCCAAAGTGCCCATTCCCAACAGTACGTCCCTTGCTCTCATTTACTGAGTGAAGGCACCGGGACCCTTTGCTCCCCACATTACCTTGCCCTGATGAAGGAGAGGAACTGGGGGTGCTTGGCTCCCAAGGGTGCCCCCGGTTCTCCTAAAGCAGCTCCCAGCTCCCTGGCACCTCTCTGAGGCACCCGAGCACCCACTCACCCTGAGCACCAGGCCACAGTACTGCTCCCACCTGCAGCTTCTTTCCAAAGCACTTTCTGGCACTCGGACCCCAGCGCACACAAGGATCCCAGCGCCACAGAGCATCACAGCACTCCTGCATCACAGAGTTAAGCACTTACGAAACACACATAATTACGGAACAGCTGGTTCAAAAAGCTTCCCCTTCCAGCTTAGTTTGCATGACTAACTTTCCGCAATTAATACTGGTGTTTCAGTTAACACTGAAACTCAGAGGAGTTGCAACATGCATATGACGTGTCAACACAAAGGATTACAGTATAAACATCACGCTCTTAGAGGCTGCAGAGGAGTGCCCACAGACTATAGCGATTTGGCAGTTAATGGACACCAGGACATTGCCCAACTGTCCCCATGTCCAGGAAAAGCCTAATTATAAGGTAAGCAAAATACAACACAGAAAATTCCTATTGCTTGTTTGTGCATACAAATTAATTTGGATTAAAACAGGGTTGAGTTTAAGCAGCAACAGCTATTTCCAAGCAGTCTCAGCAGCGAACACCTTTTCCCCAAACACTGTGGCTGCCCTTCTGCTCCTTTAGCGAGCAGTTTGCTGCGTCTGAAAGCAATGCTGCCCAAGCAGCACAAACCAGCCCTGCACAGCAGAGACCACAGAAAGGGGTGGGAGAGGAACTAAGTCATCAGCAGCCTATAAAGTATATTGATAAAGATGAGGACTTCTTACAGTCCAGTATTTTCCACTGTTCATGTAAGCTGCCAGATGCACTTAAAAAAAATGCATTTAGGTTAAGGAATAGAGTGGATAGTTAGATTAGGTACATGTTTCAACTGGTTTATGGTTATACTGAAGGATATATGGTGAGACCCTGTGGCTCATTCTATCAAAAATACAGAGGAATCAAAATCCTCTTTCGCTAGAAATCCAGTATTGCCGTGATTGATGCTGCATAAACTTCTTGCTCCCAATTGCCCAGAACAGTTAGCCAGGGTCCTTCGCTTGTAAGCAAACACAGGAAGCCGTAACCAGCTGTAGTGTGTCGGCTGCCACAAGTGATAGCGCTCACTAGGATTTGCCTAAAGGGAGAGCGTGCACAATAATATGAGAAGGACCATATTTCATTCCACATCTTGTCAAAAAGTATTTCAGTGTGAGCAGAACACAACAGCACCCAGCAGTAAGGTAACTTCCTCAGGACAATGCTGGGCAGCAGTCGCCGAGCTGGCAACGGCACAGAGCTGTCCTGAGACCAGCACACCTCCCCTCACACTCTCTTACAGCACAAGTCCAAGACTTCAGCCTGCTAACAAAATCTCACTTATTAACTCTTTTTGTTTAAAGAACAGACTAAAAGACATGGAAAACTCTCCCCAGCTCATGGCGAGCCTGGACAAGCAATGACAGGTCCCAGGCAAGCATCCTCCTCTGGGAGCTCTTCCCAAGCAAGGATGAAGATGATGGTTGAAGATGATGGTGATAATTAGTGCATGCTAATCAGGTGCAAGTGTTGCCCAGTGACTTAAGTTCCTGTGCACATATATTACTGGCTAATGTCATCAAGTGTTTAAATGACCATCACCTGCAGTGCTGTTCACTTTGCTTTGGTTATCTCCAGTACAAACCAAAAAGTCCACAACAAGGCAGGGACAGCAGGAAGAGGGGGGATTCTCATGAGCACCCACCATGCCCTATCATGGCTGCAGGCACAAGGCCATGAGAAAACAGTATGAGAAGGGCATGGAAACAGCAAGGGAAAAGTGCTGTTGCAGCGGCTCTAGGAAACCCTGCCTTATCAGCGGGGGGAAAAGGCTGCGGTGCTGCAAAGAGTGGGCACATAGCATTACCAAGGCTAAGGCTGGAACAGACTGAGCTGTGCTCTGCTCCGGAGCTGCTGTTTGCATGGCGTTAGCCTGTGCTGTGCACTGAAACCCACTCCCACGTGGTGAGCACGGCCATCTCCAGCACCAAGCCGCATTGTACAGTGGAGATGTTACCTTACCTGAAATGTAAGCCCATGGTAAGTCTAAAGATTGTGTGTACAGCTTCATTTCCTTGCTCATGCAAATCTGCAGGTTACAGAACACCACACTTGAAGCAAGTCTGGGAGACAGACCTGCGCATCAGCCCTTGCATTGCCTGCACCTGAGCAGGACACAGCAGCCTCTCACCAACCAAATATGGTGGGACCAGGTGGGAACCACCATGATGGCGATGAGGTCTTACACCCATCCACGTGCTGCTGGGGCAGCTAACGGCCCAGACCTGAGCCAGTCCAAGGCACGGCTGCAGGCAGATCGTGAATCATCACTCCTGGACTAGCAAGAACACAATGCTGAGCCAGCACAAGCCTGGGGTGTGACACCCGGCATCTTGCCTTGCTTTCAGTCTGCCAACTGCTTTCTGCATGAACTGCCAGTCTACAAACATGGTTGTTTCTGTAGCAGCACAGTGACACTGTGTCACAGCACTGCCCAGCTGCTTGCAAAATCACTGCCAGCAACACCCACACTACCAGAAGCACATACGCCAACTCCCAAAGCCCTGCTCCAAGCGCTCTTTCCCTGGAGCCAAGTACACAACACGTCACCTCCAGTAGCAAGTGTTGGTTTCTCCAGATATGAGTTAGTCTTCCCATGTCCCATACAGGCTGTAATAAAGGGACAGGGAAGCGTGAAGGGAGACCACAAAGGACTTCTGCAGTGAAATGGGGGAAGGTCAGGATGACTTTACTCAGTCTGACGCTGGTAGCCAGGTGTGGCTGCCTAGGTCAGAGTTAAGTA